AAATATATTTATGTATGTATTTTTAGCAAACAATTTAAATTTGAAACTTTAATATTATTGCACGTCATGGCTATATAAATTAAAAATCATTTTTAGATTGAAAATCACGGGCAGAACTTAAGCCGGCATCCGCAGCGTTCCATGCTGTTGTCCTAAGTAATTGAGCTATTGTGTCCTACAGATCATCGTCGCATTTCAACACTAGCGTTTTAAGCGTTATAATTACTATAACTATACTAATTACTATTAATATACGATTTTATACAATATATATGATTGAAGCTAATTATTTTTGTAAGCGATAATAGTAGAATTAGCTTTGGTAGTTAGACGGGCGTAATGTGTACTCTAATATTTATAAAAAACATAACTATGTCTTTAAATTTCGTAGCGCTAATATTTAACCTAGAATTTAAATAAATAACGCTTTTATATATCAGTTATTAGTACCACAAATTCTAAAAACTGAAAACCAGTTTACCTTATCGTTAAGGCAGCGGTCACACAGGATATCTGTACAATCACTTTTTCAATAAAGCCATCGCGCATACATCAGCGCCTCGAGTCATTTATCTTGCAACATGCGTGCTCTAATGGCGTTAGCTTAATATACAATTTTTATACTTAATTGTGTTGCAGGGAGATTAATGGAGACACATTCGCCCTACGCTAAAAAATAGCACGAAAGGGTCCGAATGCATCGTTGTGTCGTTAGTCGTAGTAAGGCCACAGTCTCCTATAAACGCAAATGTGGAACCAAAGCTTTGGAATATTTTACTTCAACAAAGCAAGAATAACAGTTCTTATTTTATGTTATGTCGTCACTTTTATCAGCTGTATTCCGTCTTGACACTATCCGGCTAGATCGGTTCCGATGGACTTTAACACGTTATTCAAATGGACCTTAGAAGAGGAGAGAGTACCGCGGAGACTCCTCGATGACAGCCCCGATGGTCAAAAATTACGTAATAATAGAGGCCACAATAATGTTGGCTAGATGACGTCGACCAAGACCTTAGGACTTTGAAGGCCAACAACAACCTGGACACAATTAGCCTAGATAGAACCGTTTGGAGGTCTATGCTTGATTTCATCAAGGCATTAGGGTGTCTAGCGCCACATAAATGTACTCATGGGTATTTTTTAGTGATCTATCGTAGTTATTTCGAATTAATATGTAAAAAGTAAAAACATATGACCATAAGAATGAGATGTTTTGTCTGCTAACCGATACGAAGCTATAGTATACTATAAGTTATGTTGCCTACGGAGTTTCTAAGAGACCGCAGCTTTACCACCATGCGTGGAACAAATCTGTTTTGAATCGCGCCTCGCGAACTTAATTTCGATAGCGTTTAGTCAAGTTCGAAACGTCAAAATATGCCCACTTCGACGGGTTAAACGTGATTGATGTTCGCGAAATGATCTTATGATGGGCTTGTTTTTTTCTGACGTATTCATTGCTTCGTAAACAATAGCACGAACGAAGATAGTATTATTTGAAACAATTTATGTATAGACATTTTATTGACTGGGTATTGATAAAAAAAACTCTAAATTTAATTAATTGCATTTGGGTTTAACTTGATGGAAGGTAAAAAACCCCGGCAATATAACATCTGAACAAGATGCGATGTCGAACTATTTTGGCTTTGGATATTCGGAAATCCACAGATTGAAACCGAAACTCGATTAAAACTCACGGCTTTTTCATGCGGACGGTGGTTCGTGACCCAGACGGAATTTCGATATTCCTACCACCCATTTTATGTCCAGATTTTCAGACGCAGTCCAACTATCCAACATATTTGAGAAAAATTAAAACATGTTGGACCTGATGGGAATTCCACGACCCGTTGATTATTAACCATACATCGATCTCGTCAAAAATTTTGCGCTAGTGGTCCTGCAATCGAATCTTGGGGAAACAATAAATTGTTTCGGTCGGGCAGAGCACCGAAGTTTGATCTACTTGCTTGTAAATAAAATCGACCATTGAAACAGACATAGAAATGTGTTCGCTCCATGCGCCTATGCACATTTTTTACATAAATTATTAGTAATCAAGTTTTATATTAAAAATTATCTACCAGGCTATAAGAAGTTAGGTGGATTTTTTTTAAGTTTCAGCGCCGTCTTTGTTACACAGTGTAGTGTTATAGATAACAGCTTATAATAGATATCTAGAGCTAAAATAGCAATTAGTTAGCTCTAGGGACGAAATCACCGTAATCAATCAAGCCACAGTCTGACCCTAAGTAAGGCTTCACCGCAAGGGACTCACCTACTGTTCATAATATATGAATCTTAACGCCGAAATTCACACCAGACTGAATTTTAATGCGTGTTAATTATTCACAGATTTCGTATAACGTGGCAATAACTTCTCACGTCAAAATGATACAAACCCATCGTGTTAACTCGTCCCATGGGACTACTTTCTATTATGTCATTCACTTATTGTCACTACCGAAAATCGAACAACCTGTTTATGCGATGTATGGACAATAAGGATTTTGCAGGTTAACACACGTACTATATGTATTTATATATAAACACTAATGGTTTAAAACATGATATATATTTTAGTGACACTTATTTGGAAAATATTTTAACGGTCCGACGTTTCGGCTTTGCAGCAGCCATGGTCACGGGTAGACTAAAGATGAAGGGTGTCTCTAATGTCAAAGTAAAAGACGCTATGCTAACGTCATCTGTTCCGTCGTAGTTGGTATTTGGCGAGCCGAGTTACTTGTAGTGTAATATTTATAAAATAAGTTTAACTAATATATATCGCGTTGTAAACCGTTAGTATTTTCTTGAAATGTGTACCACTCGCGAAAATGTACGTACACTATTTTATCTTTTTGTTTTTTTTTCACAAATGGAAATATCAAGGTACATTTAGAGCATAAAGTTTAAAATGCTGATGAATTAAAGCCATCTGCGTTAGATTTTGGTTAACCAAAACGTGCATAATTAAGTAAAGGTTTCAGAAATAAAATTTCCATTTGGCTAGACCACCAACACGCTTGTAGTCTGACGAAGGTCTGTCGATTAGTCTATATATAAATGGCATATCCATTACCATTAAAGCGAAAGCCGTTGAACTTATTTAGCATATTATTTTGGAGGTAGTTGTCATTTTCGTTTTGTTCGGCGAAAATGAAAATGTCAGTGATATAAGCGCACGACAATACAGAGATACTGTCTCTAGAATTGAAGTTTACATTGTAATTAAAAGGTTTATTAGTACGAAATAGCTTTCAGGACTATTATTTCCACGCCTTGATTCCTCGCTGGTTTAATGGTAGCGATGTGTGGCTAATAATCAACGGTAAGTGGGTTCGAGTCCCACCAGGTCCAACATTATTATTATCTATTTATAACGCTTCTGAAATATGTTACACTACGTCTGGTAACGTTAGTTATAGATTTATAAAGTTAATTACTATTTCCTCTATAAAATGCTCTTAATATCAAAAAAATAATTCCTTTTAAAAATATATTATTAGATACTTTGAAAACTAAATTAGTGCGGAAAAAATAATGAGTTCGCTCGGGTGAGATTTGAACCCACGGACCTGCGGCGTTTCTAGCCGGCCACGGCCTTTCAATTTTTATGCGCAACATTTCATTAGAGCTTATGTGCAATACAAAATTTATAATTTTACATTAACTGTTTTCTTGTATAAGTAAAAAATACTTGGTACGTTCTTTTTGAAAGCAAGATCCCTTACAAGCTTATACCGTTTATTGGCTAAGATCAAACAATCCGAGCGAACGAAATATATTTAAAAGCCAAATTGAATGGTAGTAAAATCTTATAAACATCTTTCATCAATCCGCCTAAGCATAATACAAATGAATTAACACACATCACTGGCTACGAATTCGTGGGCCGTTCCTACGAGATACGCGGCTTATAATAAAACAATATTAATTATCAATCGACGCTCCAGTGCCCCCTTTGTTCCTCTCGCCAGCCGGTTTAATAACAGAGGAATGCGTGCATTAAACCTCCGGCATTTCACGGTACTTTTGTTTAAATAATAAATTGGATTTCTATAACCCTAGAACCGCCCTAGACGTTGTAAGCGTATTAAATATTTTCCCTTGAATTCTTCGGATATTAGAAGTCTGTAGTCTTAATAGCTCCGACTTTTTCATATTTAACTGTGCGGGATGCAAAGTACCCATATTTCATATTATAATTGCGTAGTCGACGATATAACGTGAAATATTGGCCAGATGACTTTTAGGGGCAAGAGTTCTCTGCCAAATAAGTGAAATTTGAGGTCGTTGTGTATGGAAATTTATTTTACAACATAATTACAACTTAACGACTAAGACGCGAATATGAGTAAAAAATCAATTATGTCCCCCTCGAGTTGTCAGCAAAGGGGGCGGAGTCCCAATCAGTTTGATAATACATTCAAATTTATTCGTTGATCGGGCGAGCGTCTCGCTGCTAACGCATTTAAAAAGTGATTAGAAGTTAAATTGACACAATATGAACTTTTTGTCCCCGCGCCGAGGCTTAATCAAAAACGAGGTTATTGAATTCGCAACAAAATATCAAATTAACATCCAGCCCCAAAATCCATAAACGATCGTACATTATAACTTCGAACACTCTTTTTTCTTCCAAGTAAAAACAAACTAAAGCAGTACTTGGAATGAATATTAAGATTAAGTTCACATTGTTGGTTTTAGACTGTAGTTTCTAGCGTCTATTATGCAGAGGTATTCATGAAAGCAAGTGTTTTGTCCCAGAGGGCGAGAGCTCTATACACATTTGCGAGAAAACGCACAATCATCCACGTAACTTAACTTATGGTAATTACTTGCTAGAATTATTCGCCTAAGGCGCTCGAACAATAATAATAAATAAGAACGAACTCGCTTATTTACAACTTAAAGATGATGCGTAGATATTTTTCTACACATATTTAACATTCTTAAGGTTATAGATTAGACTCGTAATGTCTTTTGTTTTCTTATTGCCGCTGACGTCTAGATGATTCAAAACTGGAGTATAGTGACTTCGTCAAAATATCGCACTCTTTTAACGTCCTCTGCGCAAACAGAGCTCGTTTCATCATTTTTCTATCTTCAGCGAAGAGTTCCCGTGTTGCGCTTTTCACAACTTTCTGATCTAAAGCATCGAATTGTGACATAATTTCTATATAAAGATTCTCTAAATTATGAGCTAACGTTGTGATGCTATCTTTAGGGTCTTCTTGAGTTCTCAGTACTTGCGTGTGTACGTATTGTAAGCAAGTGAATATTTTCGTTGCATCATACGAAGCATACAGATCATGAAACTGAGTTGACAGTAAACGATAGAATTTAGTTTTATATTCGGTTTCTTTAAACTCCAAGAACTGTACCTGTTTTTCATAATAACTTATAATACCTGTGACTTCATCCGCTTCATTTTCAATAATTGCTCGTAAGAAATCTCTTCTCCTTAAAACAGTACTTTTAATGTTGGTGGTAACAACATCCACTTGCATGTAATTTAGGCACTGTTTACTCAGCTCTTCAAATATGTGTATAAGTTGAGCTGGTCTTTTAAAATATAGTTTCGGTTGATTATTGTTGCACATTGTGATAAAGTCGTTAAATTTGGGCTCTGTTGGCGTGGATGGAGTATATATATCAGAAAATAACGCCCGAAGAACTCCAGTTTGCTTCTTTAAAAAAATATTAGTGTTTACGTTCTTCCAAGAAGCTGGAGACATGTGATAAAGGAATTCACCGTACTTCGACAGTATTTCAAAAACGGCTTCTAAGGAATCTACCTCGTTTCTCAATTTATTATAGGTAAAGCTCAATTCATTTAATTTCTCTATTATCATGTCTACCAAATATTCTCTTTCTTTACAGAGTTTTTCACGACGCTTAGCACTGTCAAAGCTTTCCTTTGCAAAATTAACAAAACTAGATTTAATACTATTGTACATCCGTTCAATATTTTCATATTCTTCTAATTCATCAGATTTGGCTGTGTCGATTTGAATCATTTGGTCTTTAAGGTAAGCAGCATTAGCTTTAAATAAAGTAATATCCCTTATATTCGTCATATAAACTTTTATATCTGAGAATTGTCTTAAAGGGCGTCCTTCAATGATATTGAAAAAGGTTTCGTCAATATCGCAAACCGTTTTTGCTTCATCCATTATAAATGGTTCTTTCGGTTCCTTTTTAATTTTAGATGTGTTACTGAACAAGCGCATGTGTTGAGGTATAATAAAGGGATTTCCTTTCATTACTTCAGTTTTAGTAGCCTGTTTATTATTTGTATCTTTGACTATAATCACACTTTCGGTTGGGAGTTTATCAATAATTTCTTCCATGTTATTCCAAATTCGAAATACTAGGTCTAAACATGAGAAAATAATTATTAAATATAAGTAAAATACATTCAAAAATAAGGGATGAATACTTACAAAGTTACCCTTAATATATATTACACCTTAACAATTATTTTTAATGTATCCAATTCTCCTTTGAATTACATTTTTTTTATTTCATGTATCATTTCAATTGACGTCAATTATTTTCTTTTTATTTTGATAAAGCATTAGTGGCTTGAAGAAGTTTTTCTATCCCACGAAACAACAATGTCATCCTTCGAATTTAAAAACATATCTTCTGAGTACTCAAAGGCAAAACATATAAAGTAATGTTATTTTCATATTTTTATGCACCGTAAAAATAAATAGCAAAAATGTATTATTTTGTGCTAAAAGTAACGATATTTTTATTGAACTTGAGGAGAGTCAAAAATTATATTAGAACAACTTTCGTCATCAATACAATACAATTCGAAATTTTAAATTCATAAAAAATCTTAAATTCTATAGTTAGTCAATGAGGGCACAGAAGAGTGACCGACTATGAATATGATAAAAAAATTGTAACTATTATTTTAATTGCCTTAATCCTACTAGTTCAAATGGACTATGTTATAAACTACTACAGCCTCTTCAAATCGTTCACACTACTTCCCACTTGAGATGAACAATGTCGAGATGGCCTCAAGGGATTTGCACAGCTGTCCATCAAAATGACGCTCCTCGAGTGACCGCAGGAGCCCCCGGCAAGTTTCTCCTCACTGACCACTATTGGATGTGTTGTTTCTGACACGCTGCGGTGCTTGTTATATACTTATAGCGGTTTGATTAGTTTGTAAGAACTAAACGATAAAAAGAGCAATTTAAGGTAAGTCTTATATAAAAAAAAGTTTGTTTATGATAATGATCTGATATTGAATCTTAAAAATTAAGGATTTTGTACATTTCCCATTTTTTTCTAATGGAATCCGAAAGTAAACGATTGTCGTGTGAGCTAAATATATGAAAAACAGTATACACTTTACTATCTCTTTGATGTACAATCGTAAAACCGCTATGCTTCCGTGAATTGGAACGCAAGTCTTGCGAGACACGAATGCCTTACCAAGGAACAAAATAGCGGGTAAGAGGCATTTGTTAATTAACCGGCTTCAATTCTAAAGCCTTCGCAACTTCAATATGTCGCCTTCACGCCCCCGTGCTGGCGTAATGAATCAACGATGCCCTTCTTTAAATTAAATGAATGCCGTTTCCATACACTCAGACTCCTTAACAATTATGCCCTTGAGCTATTCAGTAAGTTGCTTATTAAAAATGTGTAGTTAAAAGTAAACATAAACCTTGGTTCAGTAGTTAAACGTTTTACTCGGCGTCTAAGCGCATATAGTGCTGAGTTTGAAAGGCAAAAATTACGGTTTCAGTCGCCCAGTATACTGTCTGAAACACTTTAACCATCTTGTAAATAAAAGCCATCTTGGCCCTGGTCCATTAAAAGTGAAATCCTTGTTTTCTACGCGGGGTATTGGGCGAATGTATTTATGTGTTCGTTTCATTATTCGGTATTGCTTACAGGCAAGTAGTTGGTCAAAGTTCTATGTCAGATAGAATAAACCTATTGTTTCACTGGGATTAGAATCCCGGATCTCTAAAGCTTATGGCAATGCTAGGCAACATGTTTAGCCATTTAGCTACAGTGGCGGTATCTGTGATCCATACCTCATAAATTATACAAATATTTTAGGCACTTTAGGTTTTATAGAGACCTTAAGAATCACCACCTGTTTTCTAATTTGTCGTTTTATAAGATCAATTTTAATTATTTTTCAAAATTAATTTGGCTTAGTGAATGAAATAAGCTGTTGTTTTTCCTAAAGTAAATATATTAATAATAGGTACTTAAGAATTGTCTGCCTACCTTCAGGACATTGCTTTGTCTGTAGTTTACGCGAGTGGTAGACATATAAAAAGAAATCTTCCAAACCGCCCCCACTGATCACGCTTACCGAAATACATCAGAAACATTGGGTCACAATTAAAACATATTTAACTAGTATATCGCGTTTTAAACCCTAAAAATATATAAATAAAACACTTTAATATCGGTCACTTTAACTTTCGGATGCTTTGTAGCAGCCGTGGTCACGGGAAACGAATTTTCATTCATTCAAGTCGATCTAATTTGAATTTCGTTGTAAAAAAAAGAGCCTTAAGATATTTATTTATTTTAGATAGATAATTGTTGTTAAATTTACCCATTCTGTTACACAGACAGACGAGTGTTTAGTCAAAAAAATATTACGTTAGAGCCGGCTGAATGTGTAGACAGTCCATAAAATACCTATTACTCATAGGAGACCGCATTTTCCTGCCGAGCTTATTATGGCTGAAAAGTTTCAATAACTCCACCGTTCGCGACCGTAGCTTATCTTGTAACAAGTTCATTCTATGGCGAACTAATAAAAACTTGTTCAACACTCGATTGCTGCAAACCACTTAAAATTTAAATAGTTGAATAACTTATCGGCTATTTTCGATTAGTTTAGCGATGTTTTCTTAAGCGAAATATGCTATGTATTTTCAAATATCGAAGTACATTTTCTTTACATTATTGGCTAGATTCTTTCGTTAGTAACTGGCTTTTAATAATCGTTATTTTTCTTCTTTAATATTTTCGCAATAATAATTTGATTCTTTTGATTTTTCGGTTTTATTAGTCTTTGGCAATAACGAAATAGCATATTTAATAATTGTGAATTCGAGATCCTAGCTTATAGAATAGTGATTTAATGAAAAATTTGAAAATCAGGACCATCGATTAATGAATTATTTGCTAGCTATAGTATAGGGAAATTTATATAAATAAAAATAATATAGGACGATTCCAGACGAGACTTGAACCCAAAATAGATAACGTAGCGATATATTGCCACTAAGCCGTTCCAAACTTCTTCCAATTTTAAAATTACAGTGTATTAAAGCGATAGATATTTGCTCTTAAAACCTAAACACGATTCAAATATATGATTTATTCTCAAAATTACGTATCGAAATTATTAAATTAAATGTAATTTACTTAAAATTATGCTTAAGAAAATGCAAATTACTTTCCAGTGTAATTTTACTCGATTGTTTACAAAATAAATGATAGCGGAGCTTTTGAAGAGAGAAGTGTAAGCAAGCGATTTTACAGTTAGTACAAATTTAATCAGCCCGAGGCGATTATGTAAATGTTGCAAATGAACGGATTTGTTTTATTCTTAATTAGACTTAGTGTGCTTTAAATTCGAAAGCTTGCGAAATACATTGGATCTAAATAAGGGATTATGTTTGCATAATTTAGCATATTGAAGGTAAATCATTGATTTTTAAAAGGAACGAAATAACTTCAATTCTTTTGACAGTAGCAATTACCAGAATCAAGGTGTGAGTGATTCTAACTATAAATTATATTGAAATATTCTAAGACTAATCTAAACCCTCACTGCTAACTAAATAAAGACGTTTAAAATTGTGTAAAAGAGTTAGAAATAGGTTGGTAATATAATAGTATTTTATTTTTTCAGAATATATTTATATAGAATGACATTTTAAACTTCAATTGTCGTCGACTTATTGTGACGTATCAACCTGTATCGGAATAAAGGCACCCATATAAGAGGCAATATTATTATATAAAAAACACAAAGGCTTGGGTGTAAACTTACGTCACCAAATTGTACTTACACTGATTTTACTAATATTAATTACTATAACAAACTCTATGAACTCGCGGAAACTATTCAACTAAACCAGAAGTCTCTCTACCACGCGAGCTTTATACCTTTATTCTAAGTTATCAGTCAAATATTATTAAATGTGAACAAACAGATTGCATGAGCGGCACCCAAAAGCGTGAGCCAGAGCGCGACTTCGTTTGGCCGTCGTTTCGAAAAAACTAAACTACCCACCAATTTTATTCCGCACGTATAACAAACCACATTACGTGCTAGTCAAAAGTTAAGTATCTAAACATGTATTTTTGTTTGTGAAGTCCCGTTTCTCCTCGTGGAGCATAGGGCGAACACATTTCTGTGTTCGCTACACTGATCGGTTTTTTTATTTACAGGCAAGTAGTTGATCGGACTTCTGTGCCCTGCTGCGACCGAAACAATTTACTGTTTCCCCGGAATTCGAACCCAGGACCTCTCACACTTAACGCAATGTTAGGCAACACGTTTAACTATTCAGCTACAGAAGCGGTCTCTAGGCATGTATAGATTTGTAAATAAAACACTTTAATTTAAAACGCGATGTATTTTAAACGGATGTTTGGAGCACCCCAGCCAGCAACACGGGGAGGTGTCGAGCCGTAGTTAAAATAATTTCTAAATAAGTTTAACTAATATACATCGCGTTTTAAACCGTTAAAGTGTCTTATTTTTAATGTGTACTCGTGTAAACTACAGACACTATGTATAGATTTATTTTCACACCAAATGTAGCTTTAAAGCGATCGAGATGAATACTTAGCCCTTGAAGAAAACTTCGCAACTCTCCCTCAAGAGAGCAATACATACAACTAAAACATTGAATAATTCAAGACAAACTAATTAATATCAGTTTGAACTCTGACCGCGGTCGGTATAAGACGCGCCAATTATTCTCGAGACGACCGGAATAAGTGACTGGGTTCAATGCTTGACCACTGTCTACGAGGAAACGAGGGTCATTTGTTTATTTAGCTCCCTTGTTAGTGGTTTTGATGGAAGATCATCTATTAATTGAACTGGAGCTCGTACATAACTTCAACCAAACAAAACAATTGAAAAAGAAAGTAGAATAAACAGCACCTACAAATTTCTTACTGTTTGCAAACCTACGCTAAGATTTTTTATATTTTTAAGAAAAATGTTTATTCATGCAATTAAATAATTAGCTTACTTACTAGAAGTATACTTTATCTAAGATGTTTAAATATAAAATACTGTCTATAGTTTACGCGAGTAGTACACATTTAAATA